GTCTGAGGGCAGGGCCCCACGGACCTGTGTGCACACGTTCACAGGAGCATTTATTTCTGCCGTTCCTCATGCCCCAGTGCTCGGGGCAAGACCTGTCGTGGAGCCACTGTCCCTCTGGCTGACATCCTGTCCCAACCTTGGCACATTTTTACGAGCAGCAGGGCCGTGCTCCACGTGTGGTTACAGGCTAAAAATTACTGACTGAAAGTCAGCAAACAGCAGCGCTGGCCTTCACTGCATTAACCTCTGCCTCGGAAAAAGATTGTGAAAACAGATCAGGCCTTTCGTGATGAAAAGCCTTTTCTCCAGCAGATTTCTCTTATTTACAGCCTCCCATTAACTGATGTTCGTAAACTGCTTCACAGCCCTCTGCTGAAAGGCTCTAGAGAAGTTCAAGTGCTTTCACAACAGCGTATTCCAAACACCATCGCCCAGAGTTTCCTCATACACTCCTGGCAGTTTTCCCTGCCAAACAAGAGACAGATCTGGCACAGGAGAAATAAACAAGCACAGCAAAGGAGAAAGCTATTTTCAGTTCCTGCTAGTTGGGAGGATTGCTACAACATTTTCTACTGCGTTACGCAGTGAGGTTGGGTGAGCCAGAGAAGCCTTCCCATTTTACTACTGTTTAATATATGATTAACTTCTGCTTCCTTTTTGTGAGGATTTTTTTTAGCATTCTGAGAGGAGTCTTGAGAAGTGACAGGAGGCAATACTAGAATTTTTGAAAAGCCTCAACAACACTTCTCAACTCCATTTAGTTTGACTTCTTCAGGGTGATTTCAGACACATCTTGAAATGCATCAGAGCCACTTTCCTGGCAATACTCTGGAGGTTTACATCTCCCCAGAGAGTTCAGTCAAACTTGTCATCTGTCAGGCAGCCCATTGACACTGGCATATGTGTGCAGGTTACATGTCACTTACCTGAGGTGACACTTGCATACAACAACAGCTCCTGTATCTTTTGGGCATCCATTCTGTGCAGTGACAGCACAGAATGCAGCAGTCTGTGTCTTCACTGCTGCTTTTGAGCAGGCCAACTGCCCTCTGCCCCTCCACCCTTCTTCTCCCAAGTACTAATTGACTCCTTTTTTAAAAAAAACTCCTTTTTTAAAAAAAAGCCTTTTTTTTTTTCCTGGAAAAACAGCCTCATAAACAGCTTTTTACAATACAGAACTTAGTGTTGCTCACAAACAACTGTCCCCTTGCCCACAGCCCAACCTTCACCCCTCCCACTGTTTTAAGTAGGCCTCCCTGCCCAGGTGAAGCCACTGATGAGGCTTGGCAGCCCACAGGGATGGTGCTCTTGCAGCTTCTGCACCTTTTGTAGTGGTGCAGCTGGTAACAAATCCTAAAAACCCAAATAATTCTGTCCCACAGCAGTCCTCCCTCTTCCCTTCCCTTCCCTTCCCTTCCCTTCCCTTCCCTTCCCTTCCCTTCCCTTCCCCTCCAGTGCTCTGATAGTTCCCAAGAAATACAAGCACACCACTGGACAAGTGAGTCCCTAACTTGTCATAGGGCCAAGGACACACACCATCTGTGTCTGACACTAACTCATCCTGTGGGGGAAACACTTTGGGCTTACTTGGCATAAACCATCATTTCAGGACTGGTGAGAAGAGTTTAAATCACCTAAAAATGCATTCCCTGAAACTGCATTGCAAAAACACAATCCTCAGCTGAGGGGACAAGGAAGGACACCATGGAGGCTGTGTTGAGAAAGGCCAAGAGGTCTGAATTTGCTCAGTGCAAGACCCTGCACCTGCAGGAGATGCTTTAGGCTCTGGCAGGGGCTCCATGAACAAACCACTATTCCTGTTAATGTTCTTACTTCAAAACCAGAGGAACAGACTGACCATACATACTCTCAGCAGAGCTGTTGGCTCAGGAACTCCAGCTGTGCTGTACCTCCTGTCATTTTAGGGTTGTTTCCAGTTTTTCTAATCCTGTGATCCAGCATGGCACTAATTGCCCATGACTAGGGAAATCCTCTGATCCCCCAGCAAATCTGCAAGTACCAGCAGTCACCAGTTTCCAGACAGGGACAACAGTATGCTCCCAGATGTTTGTTTCCCCCATTCCCTGAGTGTGCACATGAGGACATGGGCAAAGAGGGCAGCTCCAGTGTGGGGTTGGTGGCCAAACCCAGGAACTCCAGAGCACACCCAGGACTCCAGGGATCTCTGTAGTGATGTGGTGCTTCCAACCTGCAGAGCACACACAGCCAGGTGACCCATCATGTCCCCAGCTCAGACACCACCCAACCAGGATGCAGATATGTGTGCAGATCAAGCCATCTCACTCACACACTCGTACCCTCGTACCCTTCCCAACCTCAGACCATTTTTCATGGATCATTCAGCCCCTCCCTGACATGGAGGAGGTTTTCAAGATCCAAGTCAATTCCTTTATTTCCAAACAGATTGGAGCCCACATCCCAGGATGTCCCTCAGGGCTCCTTTGGCTGTTGCAGTATGGGTCCTCTCCCCTGCACATTGATTACTGCCAAGGAAGGGGACGAAAGGGGGACAGTACTTTAATGCAGCTCCTCCTCAGCTGCAGGGCTCAGCTGACCCACGACACCCAAAGATGCTGGTGCCTTGTACAGGTTTTACTCACTTCCCTTCCTGATGCTGGCTACTCCAGTACTCAGGTTTTGGGAAGTCCTGGCATGGCCCCTTTTTTCACAGTCCAGCAGTTAAGAGATGTTCCAATTGAACAATCCATTTCTCCATCCTTTTCTTGTTTTGCGTTGCCAGAGTGGGTGATGAAAAATGGTGCCTCTTTGACGTACATAAAGTGCTGGTTATTCTGTGCTGGGGTCTTGAGTCTCCCTTTGCAGATAATCCTGAACTTCAGGGTTTCCAAAAGTGACATTTTCAATCCCGTCATAACTACAGAAATGCTGAAAGAAAATGACATGTATGATTCCCCAAACTGGAGACTTGTGAAGAAGGAAAGGTTTCAAGAAGGCTTTTGCCCCTTGCTGCCTTTGCTAGTTGAATTGTGACTCTTTTTGTTTTGAGAAAGGCTTTTTCCAACAGAACAGGCCAAACACTGTTAAGTGTCAACAGCAAATCATTTCTCATTGCACTCACTTTCTGAAGATCTTGGTGTAGGTGTACAGCCCTCCCATCTCACAAATGCTGGCTACTTTGAGACAGCTGCATAATGAAAAGCAACTTTATTCCTTTCTCTTTACTTGTTTGCATTTCAGTAGCAGGCAAAAAAAAAAAGACACTCCAACCAGGCTCCACATTCTGTTTTGGGGCAGTTTTCACCCAATCCTGCTATCTCCTGCCCATCCCCACAGTGTCACACTCCACACTTCAGAAAAAAACCACTTTCCTGGTGCCCCTTGCTGCCAAGGCATCCCTGTGGTGGCAGAGGACTTGGGTCTTCCCCAAACCTTAATGCTGTGGGCCAGCATGTGGCCTCCATGCCTGAAGCACAGCAGTGCCTCAGAGAGGGGTGGTACCACTCTCCCTGTCCATGTCAGGAATTAAGTTCAGCTTCACCCTTGCCAAAGTGGGAAAAACGTTTTAAGGAATGAGATGAGGAAGCAGCAAGTTGGAGGAGGCACACAGAGACACCACCACCACCTCCCCACCTCTGCTAACCTGGTGTTTCAGGCCAGCTCCAGTTGTCACTGCCATGGGTGTTAGTGTGGGAAGGAGTGGAGGCAGGAAGAGGGAAAGGGAAATGCCAGCAAGGAGCACAGTTCAGCTGGCCTGCAGGGTGTTACCCTGTCCAAGGCAGGAAGAGCAGGGGAATTCCCAACTCAGCAATAGTCACTGTCAAACTGAGGTAGGAGAAAAGGGCTGCAATTAGTACCCTTCCATGGCCAAGAACCAAGTGCTTTCTAAGTCATCTGTTTTGTAAGTCATTAGTCACCATCACTTCCTAGCCACATAAACTCATCCCATTTGATTTTACACCTCCTGACAGGTCCCCGGGCCACTTGGACGCGAGCTTCCCGTCAGTCTCACGAGAGGAGAGGCGATTCAGGTCAGTGAGTGGGAGAAGGAAAATTATTTTCTGCAGGTTTCCTCCCTCAGAAATGATGTTTCCACCCCATGAGCTCATCCAGAGAGCCTCACTTCATCAGGTATCCTTGGTTTGGGGCTGAGCTAGCTGACTGCTTCTGTTTTAGCCTGTCCCTCCCTGGGGTGAGGGACCAAGGTCCTCAGCAGACCAAGTGCTGTGAGGCATTTTGACCTCCATTGGGAAGGTGCAGGAGGCTTGAGGGAGGAAAGCAGCAGCAGTTCAGCACCCAAGTCTGTCTCTCATTCTGAAGCTGGTTCACTTCTCTGCCAGAAAGCACCACCGCAGCAGAACTTAGGAAGATCTGGATGCTTTGCTTCACTGCAATTCCCTGGCCTCAAGAGCTGGATGCACAACTCAGATGATTCTTTGGCTCACTGTCCTGTGAAATGGATTTATAGGAAGGCATATAAAATGCAGCTAAGGCAGCTCTGACAAGCTAAAACAAAGGTTTTGTCTCTGTTTATGAAACATGCACGTGGCTTTTGAATACATCCTGAAGAGTTTGCAGCCATAAACATTTATGCAAGAAGGAAACTATGGTAGCAGAAACCTACCTAATTTATTAAAAAAGTGACTGGTACACTACATGCTGAGAGGATGCTCACCTATGTGACCATGGGGCTACCATTAAGTGAAAAAAAAATCCTGACCCTGCCTGTGCAGGAAAATCAGCATTTTCTGCTGTCTTCAGTTGCTGCATTGAGGAACTGCACTGGGAGACAAGCAGCATTTCAAAGGGGCCTGGCTGCCAGAAAATGGTGGTCAAAATGAACACGAGTTTTCAGAGTGCTGCAATCATCTCCAGCTCAAATTCAGATCAACCAAAGGAAGAGAAGCAGTGATCCACTGGCACAGACAAACTCCAGCTTGCACGTTGTCCTCCAGCAGAGCTAAGGCAGAGAATAAGTCACCGCAAACCCACAAGAAGAGCCACGCCCATTTCATAACCTATAATTTTTAAATATAACATTTTATTGCTTAGATGGTTTGATACAGAACAAGTTTTACTTTTTATTTTGAATTTGGAAGTACTGTACAACTGAAAAAAAGAGGAATAAAAGTACCAAAACTATGTGTGATTCTCTGTTCATGTGGCATAAACCAGTCTTGTACACAATTCGTAGCAGCAGTTTAAGTTCCCTTTAGAAAAATATGAATTCTACACATTTATTGTTTCCTGCATGGGATGAAATCACTAGGATTAAACTTCCTTCGTGGAGAGAGAAGAGAGAGAAAGGAGACACACAGAGAGGAAAGAGAAGATGAATCATTCTGAAAATGGAATCAGACTGTCACATAGCCCCCTAAAGTTATTTCACAACAGCCTCAAACAAGGTTCTCTCTTTTTTTTTCTTTTTCCTTTATTTTTTTTGCGCTTTCACAGTCAAGTGCTTAATGTAGTGATTGAATTATCTCCATGTTAAGTCCATTGCAACTCAGGCAAAAGAATTTTAGAAGATCTTTTTTTTTTGTTTTCTTTTTGTTTTGTTTTTGTTTTTTTGTTTTTTGTAAAAGCCCTGAGAGAGGAAAAAAAATAAAAAGATTCAAACGAAAATCATATAGAGACAAATTAGCTGAACATGCAAACTAAAGCCTAAGATTCACCCATAGTTTAAACACATTATAAATTTCACAGTTTAATATTGGGGGAGGAAGGGAAACAAAAAAACCCCAACAACAGCAACAGTTCTCAGTCAAACTCAACTAATAAAAATGTCAATAAAATGTGGCAAGACCTTATACTCTACTAGGATATAGATAAAGGCTAAATAAAGCTTTAAATCAATAGTGATTATTGCTAGCAGATGTCCCGGCAGGCTGCTGGGAATTAATTACTTGCTACATTGTTCTGCAGCATATAGTTTAGTAATGGCTTCTCCCCCACAGTATTGCGCAGTTTAGTGTGGAGAGTTGCAAAAAAAAAAAAAAAACAAAAACCAAAACAAAACAACAAAACAACAACCCCAAAATAAACAAACAAAACCATTACAAAAACCAAAAAATACCCAACATAATAATAATAATAATTATTATTATAATTATAATAGTAATAACAATTTAAGGGATGCGTGAACTGGTTTTAATTAAGTAGAATGCACCTGGGTAGAGTTTCAAATGAATCATTGGTTGTGATTGATTTATCTATATCTGGCATTAGCTTCGTTTCTGAACTGGTTCAAACATCCCTATTTAAAAATTAAAAAAAAAAAAAACCAAAAAAAAAAAACCAAAAAAAACCACGAAAAAAATAGAAATCACATATACCTCAACCATTTTTTCTTATTCTATTTGCAAGAATATTACTCAAGAACATTTCTCTTCCTTTGAATTCTGGACAGTGAGATTTCAGTCTCCAGAAATTTTTCAGAGAGTTTTTAAAATAAAGATATATATAGATATATATATATTATATAATATAGACTGGGTCCGAGGCCCACTTCCTCCATGTCTGGTGAGAGCAGGAAAAGCGATTCTGCGGTGGGAAGGAGGGAGGGTCACAGTGCGGGCTGGGCTGGGGGACTGCAGTGGTGGAATAGCACAGTGAGGCTCCGGCAATGCTATTATGGCTCTGTCTGTCCCAGAGGTCATGACTGAAGGACAATTAACAAACAACAATAACGACAACAACGACAAGAACAACAAAAATGCTGGGCATTCCTAAAAATGCGCAGCTACAGTAGGATACATTTCATTTAACTCCTTCAATATTGGTGGCTGGAGTGTCTGTCACCTGTTGCCGGCAACAGGAGCCATACGGAGAAGTTCCAGCTGCCAGCATTAAAGGGGTTAAATTACTGATATGAAATTTAGACACACACCTCAAGTCTTCAAGCATCAACCCCAAAATCTCAGGAAGAATTTCTTTCTTTTTTTTTTTCTTTTAAATTAATTTTATTTATTTTTTAAATGTCGTATATCTGTAGTTTCATTACCAGTAGTATTTTCTTGCTCTTAGAACATGACAGAAGCAAGACGAGAGGGTAAGGCTCGCATTTCTCTCTTGCTTTCCACTGGAAGACGGAATAACTTTGCTCTGTGAGTGACCGTCACCGACGTGACGGCAGCGAGGTCACTGCGGCACCGGCGGTGCCTCTGTGGCGCGGCCGGGCCCCGCGCGGCCCCGGCGTCGCGCGCTCGCGCCCACGCCCGCCCGCCGCGAGGGAGATGTGCCCCCACACGGGCACGGTACCTCGCTGGCCTCCGCGGGACGCTCCGGTCGGAGGAAGGGGTTCATGGAAAGTACAGTAGAAGAGCTGCAACAACAGGAGGAGGAGGAGGAGAGGCTGGTGAAAGCTGATGAGTCAAGAACACTCCGAGACGGGATCCAAGCTGCGCTACGCATCTCCGTGGGCAAATATTGCCCATTGGCTTCTGCTGACTGCAGAGACAAGCGAACTGATGGATTTATAAAATAATAATAAAATAATAATAATAATAATATACTGAAGCAAATCAAACATATGTAACAGCGGGTGCATAATTTCCATAGGTTACGTTGCTATGTAACTCTTCTCTGTATACACGCTCAGTCCGTGACGGCCAGAAAAAACCCCTAGGATTTAGAAGACCACTTCTAATGCTGAAAAGTGGAAACAAGCATGAGGTTGAAATTAATTTGCGTTTCCTGCTTTTGGCTTGAACCACTTTGAACACCTTCAACTGCCACGTTGTTCGTGCCTGGAACAGGCTTAATGCTCCACCATGTGGCAAATGCAAGAACATCTACTGAGAAAAAAAACAATAAATCAATGTCTCCTCTGCATCTCCTCTGACTATTTCATATGAAATTCACATCATTTTTCTTCCAGTTATTGGCTATGGTATCCAAGGGCCTCCCACCCCACTGCCCCATTTCCAGCTCAGAGAACAAACACAGCGACTATCACAGATATACAAGAACAAGCTCACGCACACCAATACAAAAGGTAACATTAATGCTTAAATGAAAAAGGGTCCTCTCCAAATAATTCTTTAAAATATTAAAATCATTTTTGAAAAAAATCTATAATACCAAAAGATCTAATAAAGTAGTAAGGCACTCAAATCAGTATATACGGTAGTCTCTTGCATTATTATACTGAAAGGCATATGGCACCAGGTCCAGTCTGCCATACTCTCCCCATAGCTGTAAGGTCACTCTTCCAAAACCAGACTCCAGAAACCTTGCTCTGCTGGCTTCAGTTTGCCTGCTGAGACGTGTCCAACCTCCTAGCAAGTCATTCCACCCCCAAGAGCTGAGGCGCACTGTCGGCAGAGGCCAGGATGTGATTCATGGGAGACGGAGCGTTGTGCATCTCCAGCAAGTCTTGGATGAAACCTGAGGGTCTCTCGTGCTCGGAGCTGCCCCGCGGTTCCTGGTCTATTGCCGCGTGTTTCTGTGTGCTCTTGGTGGGCTCGGCAAGGCAGGCGCCGCTCCTCTCCTCTCCGCAGGGGGAGTCCGTGACCAGGCCAGCCAGGGGCTCGTTCCGGCTCCCCGCGAGGGACGAGTGGCTACCGACGCCCCCCGCGGAGTCGCACTCGCTCTCGGAGATGGGGTTGGCGCCGCTGTGGCTGGACTCATTCTCACTGTCTTCTCCACACCTCGACTGCGTCTCCTCCTTGTCACTCTCCTTCCCATGGTTTCGGGCGTTTTTGACTTTCTGGTGGATGCGCTGGTGACGGACCAGGCTGTGCTTCAGAGTGAAGGTCCGTTCGCAGGTTTGACACTTGTAAGGTCTCTCACCTGGAAGAGAATGACAACACAAAGTCAGCTGTGAGGTCACACACGTGCCTTCCTCTTGTTTCAAGCAGCATGAAACACTTTGCACTTTGCAAATTCAGTACCTACTTCAAACGTCACATCTATGCAGATTTTTTGCTTCTGTACTAGCAAACTGGCTGATGGAGTGCAAGCCTGAATACAGGTAGATGTCCACAGCACAAATGGAGCATTGAACTAAGTGTCTACAAGCTCGAGAAAGATTGTAGACAATCCTGGCAAGGCCCTGCACTGAGGAGGGAAGAAGACCGTAAGCATCAGGTGCTCGCTAGCATCCTGCCTAATTTAGTCATCCACTTTTCTGGAAAAGGTTTCCAGTCAATCTCTGGAACTCAAAAGCCTTTATGATATCAGCCCACAATGTGGGCTCTCTGCTGCAGGTCAGCCCCAGACAGATGTGGAGAGAGAGAATATTTTCCTCAGCAGGAACTCATTGGAAAACAAAGCAACCACAGCCCCACAGACAAAATTCTCCCAAAATACGAACCACGCACACTGCCCAAAGGTGCTGTCTGCTCTGAAGAACCAAAGGTCCCACCCCAACCTGTCCTCCCTTTCCAGCTGTGCCTCTTAAAGACTTTTCAGCGCTGCAATTCCATCAAGACACCATCTTGTGCCAATGAGCATCAGAATGAGACACACAGTAGGCAGGCAAAGGTTTCTTGCACACTTCAGTGTGTCCCAAATGTTCCTCTTCTGAGTAAACAAATCCCAAAACCTTGCAGGTATCTTTAAAAAACCTCACACATTAAAACTGAAGTATAAGGAATGTACAACCTGACAGTATTTTATAGTTGAACAAGTGGGAAGGAGACAAGGAGAAGAGTCAACCCACAGCATTGGTGTAAAATCCTCAGCTGAAAATACATTGATCTGACAGTGGGGGTAGGTCATAGTTACATTTATGAATTTGAAGAAAGCACTGTGCCAGGTTCCTGTTCGACACCTATTCTATGTTAAAAAATCCTTCAAGTGTCAAATAAGAAAGAGAAACAAACAGGAAAAAAACATACTGACAAAGCCCACAATAACCCAGCATGCAATGAAAACAATTAAAACAGAGAGTATGGAAACGTCCATGGGCACACATTGTTTGAGGGTAAAGCTCATTACTTAAGATATCAGCATTTCCCTGAAGCTTCTGCACTTGTATGAAAATAGGCACTAGAATGGGACCTGTAACATTCCACTTGTGGCTCAGTGGCAGAAGAAAACAGGTCAGTTTTGCACTCAATAGGTGAATATTTATGATTTAGAAGGGTTGAAGCTATTCAGGCATTGCTCTTTGGTGTAGTTTTCTAAAAATCACTGTCAATTACAACACAAATATTTTGTCAATGGCGAAGATCTTGTCTTCAGCAGAGAGAACCTTCAAAAGACACGAAATGTCAAAATGGACCAGTTTTCCCATGTTAGAGCAGCTTGCTGGCAGGTAAAATACATAATTAATAAGGATGAATGATTAATTCACCTTTGAGCTGGTTCATGGCTTCATCTCATTTGCAAGGCACTGCTGCAATCTGCCTGTGACATAAAGCAATCCCACTGCCCAGTCCAATCACTGGGCAAGTGTTTCACTACTTGTGTTCCACCTTCCCTGCCCAAATGCCCACTGGATCTCTGCTTCCACCAAGGCAGCAGGTCACACACATCACCAGCATGTTATCCATATTGGGCTCAGATCGTCAGATGAGACCAGACTCTTTCTCTCTCTCTCTGTCTCTAAACTTTGACTCAGAGGTGAAGTCTCATAATACAGTTTCTCCACTGCTGGTCAAAATATTGGGAAGAAGTAAAGCCACACACACATGGCAAGAAGGGAGTCAGAAGCTGCCCAGGGATCTCCACACTTGCCCTCACCTCTGAACTCTGCAAGCAATCATGGGGAAAAACAGTTTGGGAGTTGAAAATAAGGCAGTGGCTGCAATTCTTGCTCACTCCATAGGCTTTTTGTGCAGCATGGAGGACTAGGGGGGCAGAGAAGACACCTTGCAGATACCTTTAGGACTAAAAGCAGTGTCTTCAACTCAAGTGCCAGCAGCAACCACGCACCTCCAGAGCAGATATCTCAGTCTGCTGGGGCACCTCATGGTCTGTTCTGCCCTCAAGCCTCCTCTTACCTGTATGAGACCGCATATGTCGCGTCAGATCTTGCAGAGACCAGAAACGCTTGTTGCACACAGTACAGACTTTCTTTCTTTTGTCTGCTTTTGCAGTACTCTTAGCCCCATCAGTCTTTGGTTTGTCATCACTGCTCTTCTCAGTGGACTTTCTCTCTGTGCCTTCCCCCTCAGAGACGCTTTCGCTCTCTTCATTCTCCTTTCCTGTTGCCTCAAAGTCCACAGGAGACTCCACTACCTTCAAGTCCAGCGGAGACTCTTCCTGCTCAAGACCAGAGTCCTGCATCGAGGGAGCTCCTGCATCATCCTGAATGCTTTTGCTTTCATCCTCACTGCTCCTTTCATCCTTTCTGTCCTCACGAATGTGGGCCTTTTTGTGACGGCTAAGAGTGCCAGCAAACTTGAAGGTTTTGCCACAAATGTCACAGGCATGTTTCCTTTCAGTCTGAGAACTGCTGCCTGCACTCTGGTCACTCTCTGCCAGCTTGAAGTCCATTAATTTGCTGGCAAAATTGAGGTCAAGACTTTTGTTACTTACAGAATCTTCCTCAGGGCCCTCTTCATATCCATCCACTTTTTCTTCAGCATCCTCTTCTGCCAGAAGGGAATCGGCCTTCTGCTCCTCCTTGGGGCCGCCGCGCTCACTCTCTGGTGGCTCTGTCATTTCCTCTGACTGCTCCTTCTCGCCACAGCTCAGGTTCAAGGCTTTGTTTCCTGCAGCTAGTGTCTCTGCATCCGCCTGGCTCTCTGCAAGGAAACACAGAGAAACTTTCAGTAGGATGCTCCCTGATGATTCCCAGCTACCAGCAGTGAGCCTGCAGAGGGACCCAGGAGCATTGCTTCTGATCAAGCATCCCAACATCTGTTTCTCTTGTCTGTGACCTAGGCCAGTAACTTACAGCTGAAAAGAGATTAAAATACCACAGAACCCAATTAATAAGATGATACAAACTCTTTTACAAAATGCTTTCTTTTCCAAAACAGACTCACAATCTCAGCAGCTTCCTGCAATAATTTTCAATGTAATCACCTTTAACCAGAGAACACAATATGCCGAGACACCAAAGAAGAGCTGAGGTCACTGTCACAAATAGACCATAGACACATGGATTTATTACCAATAAACTTGTGTATGAAAAACATGAACACGGATTGAAATAATATACAATCCACATATTTATCAAACTAATTTTTGTGTAGCAAGAATGTTTTTTCCAAGGAAATGTAAAAGCCTCATGCAACTACCTGGTACAACTAAATGTGAATACACTTATTGCAGACAGTAACAAAAGTTGGCTTAAAAAATTGAGTATAAACCATGAGAGTGGAAGATGTGGAAGTTTGTCCACACCTGAGTCTCTGATATGCCACTTGGAATCAAAACATAAAGCCAAGGGACAGTAACAGGCTTTGCTGTTTCACAGTTACCTCACAAGAAGACACAAATTACCTAAGATGTGGTCCTTAATGGTGTCCTCTGCTTGCTTACCTGTCAGCAGTATTAATGTTGCTGAAGATGTAACATGCCCAAAAAACTGAAACAGGCAAGGTGCTTAAGAAGAACAGAGGGCTGGAGCTGCACTCCTTCCAAGCTCCACACAAATAGTGTATTAGTAAATAGGAAATAAGCTGGTCTGGCTCTGAAGGCCAAAGCTGCTGCTGATGCATCCCCAGTGCCACTTCCCAGGAATTGTTCCAGGACACGAAGTTCGCAAGTGGCACTTTCTGAAAGCTGAAACTTGAAGTCCTCCACCCGCCCCCTGCTTATTGACAGCAAGCAGCAAAGGGAGCCCACAGCCCACCCAGCATTTCAACATTCATCTGCAAGAACGAGAGGTGCTGAGTAACTACAGGGATTTAGAAACTCTAGGCAAGCAGTGCAAGCTCTCTATTTGACACAGTACAACATGTGCTTGTCTCCAAACTGCCCAGATTTCCTATTACAGGCGTTTTTCCCTAAGCAAGGAGTAAAAACAGAAGATAAGAAGATGGTTCTCAGGCACTTATTAGTTTGAATGTAGTCTTGCAACACGATTTGCACTGGCCCCATCTCCTCTCACTAGTGATAATAAATGGCCATTAAACAAATGTCAAAGTGTAGCAGTGTTTCTGGTGATAGTGAATGATCACTTAATAGTGTGCAATTCTTGATACCCTTTTTCTTGGGGGAGTTTAAGGGGGAGAAGTGACCTATCACAAAAAGTAATCTCACCTTTTAATCAGAACAGATCTGTTTACACAGACAGTGGATTACACAAAGTTCATTGCTCATCTAATTATCTGCCCGTTAGAACACGCAAGCAAGCCCTAATCTGTGTGTAAGGCCACAGAATGTGAGGATGGGGACGTCTGAAAGCAGACGCGGGCTGCCCAGTCTCAACCCCTGCGAGGTCAGGAAATGCTCCCCCGATGGGATGTGTGTTAGGCTGAAGAAAGGCTGCCAGCACAGCACAGAGGGGGCTCATTAGGGAGCGGGGCAGGAAACCACGTGAGCTCTGGATGGAGATGAGTGAAGAGCACAAGGAAACCAAGATGGGAAAAAGCTCCCCTTAATCGTACCCAGAGAGATGTTCTGTAACTCTTTATTGACCAAACAGAAAAGAGTAGATGCAGAGGGAGATTTTTTCCTGTTTTTCAACAGGAAACATCAGAAGTAAAGTGAGTGAGGAGAATATCCATGGGTGGCACTCAAGGTAAGAGCAAGCCAAAACCATTATGTCTTAAAACTCTCAATACAGAAGTCCCAACTTCAACATTCAATGTCATATATCACTCATGATTTTCCAATTTTTCCATAGCTTTTTCTTCTTCTGCTTCTAGTATTTGGAAAAATATATTATTTTTCTTACAGTATACTCATTCTCCAGTGAATTGTACTTGGACTCTAACTCCTTCTTTGCTCTCCTCTGTGCCCTGGGCCCTTCCCAGCTGTTATTCTGTTCTTGCACGCGTAGCCTGCAACTACATTTTTCAGTGCACAAGAGAAAAACACTTCAAGGGATAGGTGGTCCACAGTTAAGTGATGTACTGGCACAGGCAAACACATGAGGTCTACATCAAGAAAAACAAACTCTTAAGTTTAAACAATGTGCCTTCACAAAGGACAAAGCCTGCTCCAAACCCTGGGAACACAAATGTACACAGGCCTTCTCTTCTGAAGCTCCTGTGGGCCTGGCAGCCCTGAAGGAACATACAAAACTCAGGTGGTGACATAGCCAGGGATATGTTGACACATGTTCATGCTTGAGGGAGCGCTCTTCCTCCTCCCCTGCACAAACCAAACCTGCCCTTTTCCTTGTCAAAAAGGAGTTTCACAGGCCCCTTAGGAATCTTCATGCATGTACCTCACGTCAAGCAGCAGTTCCTGACCAGCTGAGCTGCTCTGTGGTTATCTCCAACCTGTGCAGTTGGTTCTGCAGCTGGTGAAAAAGTGAGCTGTTTGCACAAATCCTGGTTATTTGGGGATGGGTGAGAATCAGCCCAGTTCTGCTTCCGATGAACTGCAATAGCAGCAGGGGAGCTGTGAAGGTGTGAATGGTTGTGAAGACAATTGAGCCAGGACCAGTGTGGGACTTCTCCTGCAGTGCAAGGCATGGCTTCCAGGGTAGTCTTTCACTGGCAGCTGCTCCATCCACTCCAGCAGAGGTTAGGCCTGGCCTGCACTACTGTTTTCTTCCTTCTTACATGCCCACTGCAGCAACAGAAACCCTGCTGGCCACACAGCTCCAGCAGGCTTGTATCTTACACAAGGAGGAGGATTTTGACTGAACCTTCAGATCTGGGCAAACATCCCTCCAACAACACAGAGCTCTCTCACATGGACAATTCCCATCTCCAGAATTTGGATAATTTATGTTGCAGAGCAGTCACTCGATTCCAGGCAGTGAAAGAAACAGGATGCACAGGAAAGGCCTGCTGTTTCTTTTGCCCCTTTCCCATTTTTCACTTACTACGGCTGTAAAATGCTTTCCACTCCATTTGTTATCCCACAGAATTTACACTTGGTGAATCAAGAGGACAAGAGCGGAAAAATCCACTTCTCAAGGCTCCCACCCACTGCCACTTCTTCAGCAACCATGGGAGCAGCACACGTTACCTTGTGTGCAACCAGTGTGTCACTCCCTCAAAATGAAGAGAAGAAGGTGACATGACACTATCTGAAGATCTCAATTCTGACACCAGAGTCAAAAAAGATGTGCAGGGTAAGGGAGAAAGAGGAGAAGATCAGGGAAGTAAGGACATAGGGAAGAAGATGACAAAAAACCACTGGTAACTCAGCTGCTGCCTCGTCAGCTCCTGGGAAAAAAAAACAACTTCTCATGAGATGTACTCATAAGCTAAACCTCAAGGACTCCATCTGAGAATCCAAAAACTTTTCTGCTTGCATGAAAGAAACCACTATATAGATGTAGCCAAAATTGTTTTTCCTTCAAACTGAGGAAAAGAAAGACTGTTTTGCTGAAGTCTATTTACAAATCAAGTTGCAGTCTTTTGTCAGCCCAGGCAGAAGAATCCAGTTCATCTTTTATTGGTGGCAAGCAAGAGGAGGGAAGAGCTTTCCTACATATGCAAACCAAATTATGAAGAAGGACACCAAATGTGAAAAATTTCAGATGAAAGAGGAGATACAGATCAAGGTGGGAAGCTTGCTGGCATGATTCTTTTTACACATGGTTTTATTTTTTCCTGGAACTATGGCGGAATAGAGTCGAGCTTGAGATGCTACAAAGTTAGTAGAGAAAACAGGATGTAATGAAAAACATTTTGGTGCTAAAGCAAGTGTTTATTGATAAACATTCCTAACATCCCAAGAGAAAAGTTAGAAAACCCATCACATAAATAATCCGCAAAAGTTGAGCAAACAGACCACTGGAAATGGATGTGGTACAAGCAGTTGGCATTATCAGTCAGATGAGCTGATGATTTACTGTCTTCCCTACATTAACTGAAATAACCCCAGCTTGTTTTATATTTTACAATAGAGGCAGCCACCACTAGGTGGTAGCAGTTCTAGTAAATTTGGGATTTTTTTGGACTCACACACACAATGCTGCTTCTACTTCCACCCATGAACTGGAGAATATCTTTTAAATCCAGAGAACCCACTTGAAAAATTTTGGGTTTTATCTTCGTCCATTTTTATTGTAAACATTCTAAATAATAAAATTCAGCCACCTTCATTACATCACTTGCACACACTCAAATGAAATATTTAATCATCCCTTACACAGTTGAGAGAGCTTTGGCTGTGTCTTCATGCCTTCTGAAATGAAAATATTCAAGCTAGGAAAGGACTATTTACAGTAAATGGAACTGAATATGTCTGGGGAAAAAGAAAAACAATTCTGGGAAAAAAACACTTTCTGTCTTTAACACACGGTATGGTTCCCCAGTACCTTCAACAGAGTAGCTGAGGTCATGAAGAAAAGTTTTCAGGACTAGCTCTGACTGCACCTACCATGGGGGAATCTGCATTTAAGGGAGCAGAGACAAAACCCAGACTTTGAGCTTGTGATGGATTGCACCACTCAGCAGAAAGGCATTTTGACGCAGAGCTGCTGACAATACAGCCAGCAGGCTATACAGCATCTCCTCAGTATCTTCACACAGCAGCTCTAGCACTCAGGCCAACCCCAGCAGCAAATGACTCTTGCTTTACCCTGAGCTCTGGCTCTAAAGCAGCTGTTAAACTTTGCCTGACACTGAAAACATGATTTCAAGCCCTTTGTCCTCTAAGAAATACCCAC